AGAATTAGAATTACTCAAATGTAGAATTGTGTTATAGACTAATTGACTGGAAACCGGATCCAGGAAAAACAACCCCGTGGGACTTGATTGCCTTATCATATAGAGCATTGAATCATTTATTTTTTATTTCGGCAGTAATGCTCGATGCCACATGAGAAAAATATAATTTGAAATCATTGAGAGTAATATTACAATTGATATAAAAGCGATTAAGGTTTTTCTCACTGTTAATAAGTTTCCAGCAGCTCCGACAAAGATTGTAAGAGTTGTTTACAAACTGACCATAAGCTGCAGCTTTTGTCGACTGAACTTCTTTTTGATAGCGTTTATTTAAATTTGTATACTCCTGCTAATGATCTGGACTGCCAGACGCTTTGGCCATGACCTTTACGTGTAAGAGCTTATCATGCAGGCAACTTAGAACGCTGTTGTACCAGTGAATTAGCCTCGAACTTGTAGAGTTAAGTTGTTTCGTTTTAATAATCTGGTGTTGATTGACATTGCTTGTTAGAAAATTTAACAGATATTTTACTGTATCAGATGGGCTTACTGTCAAGGAATAGTAATTATCCCAAACTGTTACCTCAAGAGTCTGAGAAAACTGCTTGAGACCCCGCGCTGACACGGTTTTAATTGAAAATCTATCTTCTTTCAACCTAAAATCAGTTTTCACATTAATGAAAACACCTTCATGATCGGAAAAACCCGGCTCAACATGACCAGCGCTGTAAAAGGTATCACAAAAATTTACCACAATGTTGTCAATGCAATTTGCTGAATGGTAGGTAATTCTAGTGTTTTCTGAAATGGTTCCATGCATTCCAAAAGAGGATAACATGTTCAGTAAGTCATTTCGATCAACGTCGTCACCCAAATTAAACTTAACATTAAAATCGCCAGCAATAATAATGCGTTTCTTAGTTGAATACATTTCAGCGAGCAAGGGTTCAAGTTTAATAATAATATAATAACAATAATATTAATAACAATAATAAGAATAATATTTATTTTAAATTTGTTACATAATATAATCAAGTTAAACGAGGTCAAATAGGGTAACAAAAGTGTAATACAGACGTGGACTAGATATACAGAAAACTTAACTAACCTATCAGATATTAAAATAGTCGTTAAGGCAATAAGGTTCCAACTGAAATAATAGTTTTTTAATTTCAACCTTGAACAAATGTTGACTATCAATCTGTTTAATATTCACTGGTAACATATTGTAAAATTTGACACACATATATTTAAGTAATTTGAAGACGATGTGCGGCGTAATTAAAATTATCAGCACTTGTTGCTTTATTGGTATTCCTTAGATGTTGAAAAAAACTTAAATTTCTACGTAAAAATATTAAACATTCGAAGATGTATAAACCGTGCACAGTCAAGATTCCCATTTCTCTGAACACATTTCGATATAATTGAATCCGGCCCATTTACAACTCGAATTGTTCTTTTTTGTGATACAAAAATATCTTGTATTCTACTATATCGGCCCCAAAATAGTATTGCATACTTAAGTACCGATTCAATGTTTGCAAAATAAAGTATTTTTAATGTTCTTTTAACTAAATATTTACCAAGAACCCTATTTCCGTCACAGATCGAATTTAATCAATTTACCCAGTCCAAATTTTTATCAGTGAACTCACGCAAAAACTTGGCATTATCTGAAATATGAAATATATGCTCCTCAATTTCAAACTCCGTAATATTTTCCAGTTTGGACCTTTTTCTTTGCGTTCGTTTGATTTTTGTTAAGGATGAGTTTATTTTGATGAAACCAGTTTTTTATTCGAATAAAAAGATTACTGCTATCGTTTAACAATTGTGCCATGTTCTTGGTGACAGTTATCAAATTTGTATCATCTGCATACTTAACTTTTTTTTTTCAAGAAGATGTGAATATTTCTTTGGATTTTCTTTAGTGCTAGCTGGCATTATCCATAACTATAATAGTCACAGGACGAATAAATCTAGCATTTTCTTGAAGCAAACTTCAAATACATTAGCATTATTGTCTTCACCCATTTTAGTTTCAGAACTGTCTGCTTCCTAGGTAAGTATATCTTTTTGAACTAAAACTAGTGTAATATTGTTCTGATGCCAGTCTTTTTATCCTTATTTATTACAGTTTCTTTTCTTCCTGTACTTGCTACTCTGATAACTTAATGATGCAGCGTTTATCCTAATTGGCTTATTGTTGATTGACCAACTCCATATTCGAACACATTTCAACTATGTTTTGCAATTCCGAACATTGAATTTTGGTGGCGAACAGCCTAGAACACATTGAGAATAATAATTTTCTCATTTTTAGAATGCGCTGCTTTACTTATCCGTTTCTCAGCAACAAATTCAGAAAAACAAGAACGAACCAGCACAAAGGTTTAATGGATAAAGTTCCGGCAACCGTTTGAACGCGATATTACAAAAATGAAAATATTTTGGTATTTATTGGACGTCTTACAAAACTTGCGATAAGAACGCCTATAAAAGCTAAAGCTTCCCGATTATAAATAGGCTTTATTTTATTAGTTGGGATTCTTTCCTTCGCTTAAACAACGCGCTTTCTATTTAAAAAAAACTAATTTGTAATTATTTTATTAATTTTATTGTTTGTTATTTGTAATTGTTTTTTTTTTTCAATGGAACCCTTCGTTTGTTGAAAATGCCTACGTGAAAGTGTTATTATAAATCGTGCGTGCTTCACGCAGCGATCATTCCGCTGAGAAAGTAAAAATGTCCTCCATTCGAAAACAGTTTAAATTGGCGTGAACCCCTCACTGTTTTGCCCTTCTAGTAATCGGGTAGTTTCCTGATACACTCCGTAGGATGAATTCATCTCCGAGCGAATAAGCTTGTTGTGTCCGTCATGGTAAACTGGTTCCATTTATACCGAGGCCGTAAATCATAACAACGCCGGAGCAGCCCCAGCTATTTATTGCATATTAGATAAAATGCAAATTTTTTCCACTTTAGGAAGGTTATCGTTTTTGTACGGATTTGCACCTCTATTGTCCCTAAATGCGCGCCCCTCCCTTTTTGGGTACCGAAATGGATCGATATTAAATATTATATCAGGGTGTTGTCAAAGTTTCAAATCAACATCACATACGAAATGAGAGAAAGGAGACTTTTTCGTAATCTATAATATTAGGGAAGGAATAATAATTTCATTATATCGCTTCGTTCATTTACCTTAACTGTAAAGTATTGTTTTGAGGAACTATGTGGTGGACTGTAATTTTTTCACTCCTGAAGAAGTCAACAAATAAATTGACGAAATATTGAGTGTTAAAGAAAAAGGAGCTTTCTATTTTCTTTGTTTTTTTTTTAACCACGGACCGCTACCCGATATCCTTTGAATTATATATATATATATATATATATATATATATATATATATATATATATATATATATATATATATATATATATATATATATATATATATATACAGTGACGTCGGTTTTATGGGCCATATGAGAATAAAAATAGAAACATTTGTAATTATTTTTTATGATGAGAGAAGCTATGAGCTATGGTCGAAGCAGTAGTCGAAGCTCCGTTGTGGCTTGCCTCTACTAAGAGAGATAAAAAATGTTTTTTTCTCAGAAATAATTCAGACTCTGTCTATTTTCGTTACACTTGGTGTAAGTAATATTTGGACGCTACCAAGCATATTAAGGGCGCGAGCGAATTGATTCGCCTACACATGTCGAAAATAATATCCATCTCAGACGAAGAATATGGAAAACTCGAGCGTGGGTAGACTTTTAATCCTGTTTTCTCATAAGAGCTATTTTTGTCACAACAAACAACAACAACAACAAAGTAGATACCTATATGTGTTTTTCTCATTCAAGATTGTTTAAAGGACGTCACAAATAAGTTTATTATTTTCTACATAGTATCAGGAGACATCTTAAATATTTTTTAATAAAATCTCCTTTACATACATCTTCAAATTTGCTTTACATTCAGTTATAGTTGCATTGAATTGATATATATTGTAAAGATTATATCTTTGTATTTGCTCCTGTTCCTCCTTCACAGAATATTTATTATTTATATGTAATTATATAAATGAACAATTTTAAAATTATTGTCTCAAAGTTATATTAAATTTGTGCAATATCCGGAATATCACATTTACTTTATAAGATGAAGAATGCTTTCTTCTCGTCAATCCATGCTAATAATAATATATTTTATAAAATACACAAATAGAGATTTAAGGGAAAATAGAACACTTGGAAGAAACAGAAAAAATAATGCATGTTTCAAGTGTAATTTTTAATTTTATTTAATATCATATCCACTTTTAACTATGTTATGTTGGTATATTACTTTCTGTAGACTTGTTTTCTACATTTAATTATTTCACTTTAATTAAAGATTTTTAAACTATATTATTTGCTGTAAAATGCTTCTTATTTGCATTAGTAACCCATTCGACATAATGTAATGTGCTTGACTGAAACCGTTGCAGTTTCAGTTAAGCTCTGACGAAATCAACATAACGATTTGCCGTCAGCAAGTTCGGTTCATCAGCAACCGATGCAGGAGGAATTAAAAAGATGTGTAAATAGTAATGGTATATGATAAATTGAAATATTATTTACTATCAGGATTTCAGCGCAAAGGTGCTGCAGCATAAGAACAGAACAAAAACTTTTTCAGTTTACGTTAACATAACTTTCTCTCAGTGTAACAACCTAAGCTGTCATTTAGAAAAATGGGTCCGTTAAGTTCAGTGTTTGACTGATGTGGGCTTGTGGTATTCTATGATGAAACTAACCTTAACCTATTCTAACCAAACCTCTGGAGTACTATATTCCAAAAAGGTCAACTAGATATTACTATCAGTTCCCAAAAAGCGTACTTGCCACACGCACCATTAAATAAATCCCTATTTATAAATAATAGAATGAAGTAGTCAATAGAAAACGCTGACATATATCAATTAAGAGCGATATCAATTTACTTACCGTAAATCGTCGGCACCATACGGACAGCCATCGTATATCTCTAATTCGTTTCCCATTCGGCAATCTGAGGATTATGTCCGTGTTGTTGTGAGCCTTTAGTACAGGCGGATCCCTAAAACAAAGCCATCAGCTGAATTTCATCCGGAAAATACCAGATAAGCCTGCCGAACTATAACATTAATTCCCCAGCGAGCCCTGGGGCTCTGTAATAGTTTTTTTTGCCCTTTTTGTTTGTTTCCCCAACGAACTTCATTGCGAATTCGATTTTCGCGCGATTTATTTATTGGATTCTAGGAATATTGCTTTAAATTTTCGAAATGAGGTTATACCTCATTAGGTAAGGGGGATACTTTCCTCTTATAAGTTCTGGTTTGGATCACAGTATTAGGTACACCTTGTGCCAAAGTATGTCGGCTTTTGAAATCAATTAGCGAGATAACGTGCCGACGGCAACAACACACCTGACTAGTGAGTGATGTATTACAGAGGATCAAACATTGACTTTTAAGGTGTTTCAAAAATATAAAGGAACAAGATCACATCAAGTGGATCCCCCATTTTCCATTCATGTATTATGTTGTCATTACCAAAAATTTAATTTCGAATATCTCAAATTCAAAAATCGATCACATATAAAACTGTGAAAGACAAATTGATGAAATTTTCAGTATTTGTTCTTGTTTCGTATATAATTTACTGAAAAATAAAATAAAGGTAATAATTAAAAATGAATTTTGGAGAGACGCATTATTTTTTAAAAACTTATTTATCTTCGTCTCACTTTTCAGTGATACACCATCCATCCATCACCATGCAGTTATCAAACTAGCGATTTTTTCTAGTATTTTTATAGTTATAGTATATTGAAAATGCTGATGGTACTTTGGTTCAAATCATGATCCTCTTGAGAACAACAAAGCGCGTAGTATCCTCAACATTAGAAGATTTATTGCTTTTTAATTCGATTTGATTGCAGCTCATTTTACAGTAGTTAAAACCAAATTCTTAATAACGTATTTATACATTTTTTTATTCAAAAGATAAAAGTAAATCACAGGTTTAATATTGCTCAACTTATGTGAATATGAGCTATATGAAAGAGAAGAAGAACTTCCTATTAAATTAAATTAAATTTTAATTAAATTAATTAAAATTAAATTAAATTATTATTAATTATTAATTACTATTATTAAATTATACACAGTTTTGTAAAATTTATATTTAATTATTTATTAGGTTTCTCGGATGGATATATTTTTTCCGCTGCACTCAATGAATGACAATGAATAAATAATTTTAAGTTTTCACCATTTCAAAATTCCACGAATTCATCTTTCATGGCCGATATATAGAGATATTGATATATAATCGAAAATTTGTTTTTTGGAGATTAATTTTTGGTGGTGAATATTTAATCAAGTGGAAAATGGCATTCACTTGATGTGATCCTGCTCTTACATTATGTTTATTAAGGTATAATAAAGCCTTAATAGAAAATATACACTAAATATAAATTTTCACTATCAGAGTCGTCATTTTACGATGGACTCTTTGTTGTTTTGTATGTAAATGTGAGAATCTTCATTTTTTTAGATGTTCTGCAGTGCATTTGCCAGATCTCAACAGGTATTTTATTAACCACATTTTTAATTTGCTCTAACTCTTTGCTTTTACTAGGTGCCACAAATGTTCTATGAGGTTGAATATGCAATGGATATAAGGAAGACAATATGAAGAAAGATGTAAACATAATGCTTCATCTGTTCAGGTATACTATAACATAAACTCTTTTTTCATAGCATATCATTTTAACACTTCCATAAGTTTTTTTAACAGTTAACGGTTTTATCTTCTATGTGTTTATGCAAAGTAGGAACAATCGGGTTTTGATCAAGGGAATATATTTTTCTTCTTCGTCCAGACGGTGATAATTCACTGTTAAGGATATTCTTTATCAAAGAAATTGGCGTTTTTATAAGTAACATCAAAAGCATTTGACGCGCTCTACAACAAACGGTTTCCGTACACAAAATTTTTAAGGTGTCCCTTTGACACTTTTTTTATATCTTTAGCCACAACGCTGACTCGAAATGACCAATGGTGCCTAAAAATCTTATATGGGACTAAAATTTGATCACCTTAGCCTTTAGAAGATTCTCTATTGAAGTTCTATAGCGAATTTATAAGACTCTAGGAAATAACGCCCGATTAATGTATTGCCCACTATGCCAATAAAGAATACATTTTTATTAATCGATAAGTTACTAACCGGAAATAAAATTGCTTACATTAAAAAGAAAGAAACTCTCATTTTCTATTTACTGTATTGGAGCTAAACTATTTTGACCATGGAACTAGTAATCTAATTATGTATAAACCATTAACTCCGATATTAGCTGGGATTAATATGATTCTCTATTCACAATATCCTGCTGGCATCTTTTTGGCATCGTGGAGATTAGATTTGAGATTGGTTTCCCGTCTATAGACAGTCAAGTATTTTGGATTTTTTGCCATAATTGGTTCATTTTTTTTAACGATCTCCAATAGGTCTGGTGACTGCGTTGGTCATTTTAAGTAACTAACTAACATTGACTATGGTTATCGTGCTGGAATATCAACTTTAACTTTCAGTACATCTCAGTATAAGGTCTTCTAATATAGCACGATATAAAAATCGATCCATTTTAGTATCAATTCTATGGATAGGGCGCATTCTATATGCAGAAGAGCAACCCCAAACCATAACGTGCTGTACAGTACCAGAAACGTACTTGGGGCCTTTTCTTATCAGACCGATGTATGAACTGCGCACCATCACTAATATGATATTAAATTTCGACTCATCACTAATTAATACATTTCTCCATTCGTTGGTCGTCAAATTTAAATGCCGAGTAGCAAACAACAGATGAATGTCTAGAATTTTTTCGACAGGAATGGCTTTTTTGCTGGTCTTGTTCCGGGAAGTCCGGTTTCCACTAAAAGATGTTGGGTGTTTCTCGAAGACAGATTGTCTGTACCCAGTTTTGCAAAATTCTGGTTTTCTGGTGGTTTTTATTTTTCTTCCCCATCGATGAAAATGTATTATTTTTGAAACAACTTTGTCGCCTTGAATTGTTCTTTTATTGTTTTTTGTGGTATTCCGGCTTTACAGGTCCTATAATTTTTTCTTAAGATAATCAGAATAATGTATACCACGAGGCATCTTGCACTATTAGGCTGTACCGAAACATTTTATCTTCAACTCAACTAACGAACAGAAAATAAACCAGTCGTTTTAATTTTCTAGCAGAAAATTTATGGTAAACCCAAAAAAGTTTGATAAGGACGCACATTTTAAAATACATTGAAATAAGCAAACAAAAAACATATTTGGAACTTGTTTGATTACAGGGTCAGTACAAAAAAATTATTAAATTTTAAGTAATCGCTCTAATTTTGTTCGATTCTGTATATAGTAGCCTTGTCCAAAGCGCAAGCCTCTTGAAATATGGGATGTTACAAAAGCTAAAATAACCTTATGTCAACAAAAATGGAATGGATACGAGGTGTGTTCAAAAACTAAGTTGATTTTTGTAATTGGGAGGGCTACGTACGTTTGATTTTCGATATTTTTTTTGTTGTGTTGGTTCACAAAATCGTCGAATCACTATTAGAGCGGTAACTGAAGACCTCGATATCTCTATTGGTTCCTGCAATGCATTTTTTTTCGGGCATGAAACGTATAACAGTAAAATTTGTTCCGAAACTGCTTAATTTTGAACGAAAGGACCGTCAAAGGAGCATCGTTCATGATCTGTTAAACAGCATCAATGATGATCTTAACTGGGGACGAATCATGGGTATATGACCTCAAAACCAACGCCCAGTTGTTCCAATGGAAGAACCCAGAATCGCCAAGACCGAAAAAAGTACGTGAAGTTCGATCAATTTGATGACATTTGATTGATAGTGCACCTGCTAAGTCATCGTTGCTTGTGTCTAACTTTTGGGCCAAAAACAAATCCACAATCATGCCTCAGCCACCATATGGCCCCCTGCGACTTTTTTCTGTTCCAAAACTCAAGAAACTCATGAAAGGAAGCATGTTTGTCGCTGGAAGTACTCAAGGCTATACCAGAAAGTGCTTACCAAAAGTGCTACGAGGATCAGAAAAAACGTTAGGGGGGTACTTTGAAGGGACAACATTAATTTTGATGAATAAATAAATACTTAAAAGTCAACGAACTTTTTGAACACACCTCGTGCTAATAAATATTTTGTTCTCCATTTGAAATACTTTTTATAAGACTTCTGGATTCTTCCTGCGGCAGTTTCAGTCAAGCTTTGAAGAAGCCAACAGGATGATTGGCGAAACGTTAGCTAGTTCGACTCATCAAAAACCGGCGCAGGAGGAATCCAGAAGTTTTATAAAAAGTGTCCAATTTTTACAATGATAACGAAAAAAATTCGCTAACAATTGATACGTTTTCAAAACGTAACCGTTATTGTTACAAAACAACTCCGTAAAGAGTCATTCACCATTATATTTCGGCCTCCCATTTTCGAAAAGCAAAAATGCTTCGATAGGATATAATCGTCTTATCTAACGAACCATCGGCAAGTGTTACGTAAAAACATTTATAACCATGTAATTAACCAGGACAAGATCTTTAGTGATTGCAGCGGGAACATTCAACCGGTCTCCCCACAAATATTCAAAGGGGGGCAGCCCCAATTATCTTAATGGTAATATCTGTATCCGTTTGATGATTTAGATATTCACCACCCATCAAGGGTGCCCGTTTTATGGGGGAGGCGACACCCCTTGCCCTACAACATATATTTAATCAAAGGCAGAAGGGGGAGAGATCGGACGGCTATGATAGTTCCTCATTTACATTTAAATGGACACAATGAACTGGCGGTAAAGTAGACTTCTATTTCGCTATCAGATTTTCCCAATTGGGAAACTGTCGACATTCGTTCCGCTGTTTATTTGTGATATGTAGATTATATTAAACCGCGCGGAATTTACATTGTTGATGATTTTGCCCGTTTGATTTGTTTAATTAAATGTTGTGTTTACGCTGTCATGACTGGCATTAGATTTGAAGTTATTCCGATCATTATTCATGCTATCCTTTGCTTTTCCAATAAATTATGATTACATTATGTCTCGTGTCGTTTGTTAAAAAAAGAGTCTAGTCTTGTATAGTCAAGAGTATAAACCATTTCGCAACATCTTATTCCGATACACAGGCTCCATTTTACACTATTCATAATTCCTAGCCTAAATCTGCTGCTGCTCGTATTCTTCTTTCATTGCCTTGTCCCTTTCTATAATAATAATAATATCTATTTGGCTTCCAAATTTTAAAAGAACGTGATGAAGAAATTATAAATTAAACTTCGCCTAATTTTTATGAAGGTCTAACCGCAGGCTTACGTCACTTTTTTTTTCATTTTTCATTTTTCAAAGAAACTTCCACAGGCTACTGTAATACTTTTTACAAAACTTCTGGGTTCCTCCTGCATCGGTTTTTGCTGAGTCGGACTTGCGGACGTTTCGCCAATCATTCCGCTGGCTTCTTCAGAACTTGACTGAAACCCAATTTCGACGGCAGAGAAAATACTGTTTCAACCCCCACAAATCGATCAATAGCAAACTGAGAAACACCCAATATAAATCAATTATCTACACAAGATTTTGCATTGCTTTCCTAGGAAAATATTTTAGAGTCATTAGGTTAAACACTTAAATTGGAAGTCAGTTTAAGCTTCCTTTCAACCTATCTAATGGGCAAATTCAACTTGAAATCGAGTTACTTCAGCTAGGGACTGTTTTAGGAAAATTTATAAAAAGCATATTAATATCAATTAATATAAGAGTTTAATCAAAGAAAATTTCCCTACTCTTAAAATACAACAGTCCGCACTTCACAGTTCTTGTCGGCTAACATTTTAAATACGGACCTGGCGTGTGGTATCACCACGGACCACATCCCAAAAAGAAGCACACAACACTCACAAACACTCTTAGTCTTCAAATCCTTTTTTGTGTAGATATTGAAATCCGACAAAGTGGAGAATAGCCCAACAATACTAAATAAGTGACTATCCAAGAATCAGAAGCTCAAATAATATCTGTAATATGGAGTAAAGCAGCAGTGAGTAAAATTTCATTAGCATCTGGTTGATTCCTATTCTGTTGATTCACCATCGACCTGAGATTAATGTATTAACTTAGGGTTTAATTTTTTTTTTTGGTGAAGTCATTCTGGATATGCATGACGCATCTGAAAATTATTGAATTATGAATATTATGCACCAAGTGTGGTAAACGGCATTTGACTCACAAGTTTATTTGAGACGAGCAGAGCGAGTGTTTAATAAACGAGTGATTTAAAAAGTTTACCGAACGTGTTGAATAGTTTACTTTTTCTACGACCGTTAGTTTTTGAGTACATTTTCGCAAAACAAAACGAATATATTCACTGACATGACCGTTAGAATTGACCAACGTCAAAATTCAAGGCGTGGGAAATATCTGCGAAAACATCCGATTGCTCCCAAACTTGTGAGGTAAACTCGTTTATTAAAAACTCGCTCCGCTCGAGTCAAATAAACTCGTAAGTCAAATGCCGTTTACAGCGCTTGTTGTTATAATATACTGTTACAGACGGGAGTAGAAAAAATTAATTTAACTTGCGCATTTCCACCATAGTCATGTTCGTTCGGTTTTTCCAATAATATAACGTAATCATACTTTTCTTCTTTTAATACACGTGA